AATGAGAATAGTAAACTCAGGCGGTAGTCTGGTCTTAGACGGGAAGCAGGATATCTGAGGAATTTTTTAGCGCATGAGCAGCGGTATCCCAAGCATTTTATTTTTGCTTCTGATTATGCAAATACAGATCGTCTAAATGAAAATAAATCTAATAAATAATGTAGGCAGTACAGTTCCTCATAGTTATATATAATTAACCGCCACTGTGTAAAATATATAATTACCAACGTACGCATTTCGTTACGGATAACAATGGTAAAATGGTATGGTATATGGTCGCCTCATGCATATATCAACCTTTAGTTTCAATGTCTCAAACTGCACATAAACAACTTACTTTTCAAATCACGACCGCCCGTTATTTTATTTCAGTCTAAAGGCTATTAACCACATGAAACAGATTTTAAACGCTAGATAGTTCTTAATTGTGTGTTAGTTACAATTACAGCTTGTTACTGTTAATTGATATGGTGTCTGGTCACAGGAGCTGCTCACACTTAAGCTAATAGCAAGGTTAGAGATTCATACCTGATTATTTTTTGTGCTTCAACTCTTGACGTGATTCTTAGAAAATCGGTTCTTTGGATACAATGACAGTTCTTGGGCCATTTTGGCCATTTTCCCAGTGTTTGGCGCAGATACAAACTTTTACTATTTTCACAAGAAACAGTTGTGATTAGTGCGAAAATCTCAACCGGAAGATTGAGCGACTCTCTATCGGTACGGGTATAACGTAACTTGAAAAGTGACATTATGCCGATTTTTTTGGTTCTTGTCTCAAATACACTTAATTGAGGTTCAAAGCTAGAAATTAGTTGCGCATCCACTTTTTCTTATCCATTCTGGAAATCACATATACAAATATGCTCAATTTAAAAAATGAGAGAGATAAGAAATAACTATATTCACTATACACTGTCGAATTACAAGCCATATACATCTAACAGTAATTACACACAACCCGGGCGCGGTGATGGTTTCCCGTAATTCTCCTCAGTTTTTCGTAATTTATAACTTTGAACATAACCTCTCTTCAGAAAGCACAACATATAAATAACCCGTCATATTCGGCATATTCAGTAATGATTTTCTCACACAGCAAATATCACTGATTTTATACACATGCAGACCAATACACATAATCATCCAGATGCGATCTAGCTATTCAACCAACTTTCTTCTCCGAGATAAAAACTACAGACCCGGATCACTTAGCCTCACAAAACTATGCAACCAATAATGCGTAGTTTAGTTGAGTGATTCCTCCATAGATGGACGTTCACAACGATCCTAGTGAGCAAACGTGGAATGACTGTTTGCGCCCTAAAAAATACCTAGTCTGCAAATTGACATCTTATAGGTTTTTTTTGACGTTTTATAGGTTTTTTACATGATACCCGTGCCGGTCCTGCTACAACCTGCCCAAAGTTACCTCTGCTTAACATTTGCTCGCTGAGGTCGCCGAATTTCGGGACAACGTAAGATGGCAGGAGAGATGTGATGCAACTGGTCATGGTGCAGGAACTAGAAGGCTGATTCCAGATATTAAAACCTGGATTGACAAGGAAGAAGTGCGAATAGAGAACTACATACTCACTGGATACGTTTGGTTTGACAGCTACCTAAAGAGGATAGGAAAGGGAGATTACGCGAACTGTTTATATTGCAATGATGCGAAAGATACTCCTGACCATCTACTCGAGTTTGGTAGATGAATTGACTACCAGAGAAAGCTGGAATGGAGAAGTTTCTTAATATTCAGGATCGCATAAGTAATGACATACCAGCAAAATATAGACTAAATATAATCAGCCAGTGGAAAAATTATTGAAAGCGGCCAATAAATAACAGAGAAATTGATACTTAAATTTGGCGCATTATAGCGCGAAATCATAGCTGCCGTTCGTTCGCGTCTGACGTCACACTTCTGTAGTGCCCAGCGTCTCGTCGCGTAGGTGTTCGACCGCGTCTGTGCGTTTAGTCATTAGTCTATAGACAATTCATAAGACACACCTGTGCGCTCGGACACGTGGTATCCAGTTGATAACTATTGAGTGCTGCGTAAGTTCATACCATTATGGACGCCGCATGTGAGGGTATGTAGAAAAATGTTTATTAGGGGTTGTTATTGTTGTGCTCGTACGTTTTGGAACGGTGCAGTATTTATAACAACCTTTTTTTCTGATTTCGCTCATAACCGATCGTATATGCTGTCAACTAATTAAACAACTTGGGGCGGAAGACGGTTAGCCTACCATGTGTCCCGCTGTATGTGTGCCTATGCATGTGTTTAGGAGATTGAGTCTTATAAAGCATAGTAGAGTATATTTCAACAGTAGGCGGAATTTACTCTACTGGGACCAGGAGGGTGAAACGGGATATTAAAGCAGAATCTGGCAACCTTGTCGCACCCTCACAAAATAGCCGCTGACAACCACACAAGTCACCGTGTTGTCATTGAATAGCATGGAATTAAACCTTCAGAGTATATGTTTTGTGACTGGTACCAAGAGTTGACAGATCCCACACATGTGTCACTCCTTGAAATGCAATAATCAGCTGTATTCAAATAATGTCTAATATAAATATAACCTAGAATGTGTACTCGTGAAAAAAGAAAAATATGGCAAATTTTTAGTTTTTTTGCAGGTTTTAGGTTTGCTGGTAGCTTTAAGGCATATATTTGGGAATTTCTTAATCGCTGTGTATATAGTGTGGATGTTTGTTCAGTTCCTGAACAACGAAAAATATTCAACTTTATGGATGTATGGATATCAAAAGACCTGAATGGTTTTGTGAGAATATCAATCTAAGGTGCCATAATGGTTCTGATGAACGGCAAGTAAATGAATGAATGTTTGGAAACGAGCAATATCTTTTGGTAGACCCTGTCATCAAGTAGGTGCTTAATGGTTATCTGAAAGAGGTTTATAGGAAAAATCACCCAGTGTCGCATATCAATTGAAGAAAATAATATAAACATGAATAAAAAATCAACAATAGTAATTAAAACATGAATTTTATTCAAAAATCCAACATTTCTTTAAATTTTGACTGAGTTATATGTAATTTCTTAATATTCAATAAGCTGGTAATGTTTCAATGACAAGCTGTCATCTCATACTTTGACAGTATTTTGTTTTCAACATTTCATAGCTATTGGTTGCTAAAATTTGTTGATTGGAACTTGAAGCTCATTCATTGTATTTGACGGGCTGTTACCCTATAGGTGGAGAATAACAGACTGTTGTTGGTGAAATTGGCCCTTAAAGCTGCAGTCACCGACTCGGAAATTTTAATTATTTGTAAGCGTCATTCGTTCGTGTACTTCACCATGATGAAAATCTTTTATTTACTGAATGTTTTGACATTGACAGTTCGTGCGTTCACAGTGATAGTTCAAAGTTGTCAAGTCCCTATTGGAAAACCCGATATAGCAGCAAAATCTCTAATGTTAGGCCTACAAGCTTGTGTGCCACAAATTTCAAGCTTCTACAAACACGTGCATATTTTGGGAACCATCCACACGTTTGCTATGGCAAACCAAGCATCACCGATGCCAGCCTTAACCTTTGATTCAACCTTTCTTTATATCTACTGCAGACGGTCAACAGTGGATAGCTGTTCCGTGCTTTTTGGTAACTCATCAGGACCGTGTGGGCTTGTACTCAGATAGGACAACAAATGAAAGCATAGCAATCATCCTCTATATGAGGTAACAATCTATCGAAAAAGACGGCACGAAGTGCCATCTATTACCAGAATAGACCACTGCGAGGATGAGTAGCAGCTAACATATCGGTTGAAAGTCATTGCCAAAAATCATGAAACAGCTACCAACGCCTGCGTCTGCAGTATGTTTAGTTGTTCAATACCACCAGAATCGACAGCATCTAGCGGCCACACTGGTGACCCGGCTATCAAGGCGAGCTAACGACAGTTGCAGCCGATATCTGCTCTTCACTCTCGCAGTTTTCGATTCTGGTAATAGATGACACTTTGTGCTGTCTTATTTTGACAGATCTTGTCGGATAAAAGATACTTGCTATGCATCGATTTTAAAGACTCCTAATGACGAATGATCTATCTGTGGTGCCTGTGGACGGTTACGAGGATTGTAGCTTGAAACAGATTGGACGGCTATGGCTATTTTTGAACATTTACACAATGTACATAAGTACATCAATTAACAAATGGTTTAACAATATTATCTTGCTTCTGTTGCCACAGTAGGATCTTGTTATTGCAGAGCATGTACATCTCCCCGATCAGTATGAACAAACTGACAAGCATTCCACAACCCAAAACGAACAAAGCCGGGTAAAAGTAGTCAAATCCGATGACGTTGATTATTTTCTCGGCCTGGTTGCATTCAGGCTTCTTAGGATGCCAAAACCGAACCTCCCGGTGTAAGATTCCGTGTTCTGCTAAGCGATGTACACTGGAACAAAAAAATGTATTCAGTACACCACTATAGGGTATTACGAAAATAAACTCATATAGTCGTTGGTTTGGAAATCAGTGTGTCCGTCTTTGATAGTTTACCTTACATTTCTTGAAAATAGATGACGGAAATCTTACTAACCGCAACGTACCTGACGTCGTCTCTGGTAGTACTGTGATGCTTCTTCCCATTTTTTATTATCTAACACTTCACTCAGTACAAAGCTTATAAGACCGGCTAGGCTTTTGCTTCCTAATCAACTTTGCTCCTGAAGAACTATGTAGTACTGCAGTTTCTTTGTTCCTATGACATCTTAAAGCTCTGTTTAATTTTTTTTACTCACCACGTATCAAACAAATCTCGAAATGGAGAGTGCTTCTGGAGATTAGTATGCATCGGTCTATTTCCAAACAGAGGTACTTGATTCAATTCGCAAATATGCCTGTTGGAAAAAGTCTTCTGAATGATTGGATAGCCTGTAGCTAATTCTACATGGAACGCATAACTTCCCTCGTCAACCAATCTGAGTCCTTCATTGGGATCCAAGAAGCTTTTGTTAGGAGACCTCAGAAGGTTCTGATACATTTGCCTGTGCGACTCGACTGTAGTATGCTGGAAATAATGGGTAGTTCAAAAAGTATGGGCACACCCAAATATCTCTGTTTCTAAGGATGCTAAAAAAAACTATCCGCAAAACTTTTAGGAAATCAAGTGGGGCATCTTATGGTGACCTTGACATTAACCTTGAAGGTCATTTCTAGGGCAAGTTGATTTTTTTAACCGGGAACCCCCATTGCTTATCGCAGAAATGGAAAGCCAATAAAATTTCCTTTTTTACCGATACGAATATCACAGTTGCTAAAATTACATCTAGAGGTTATTTCGAAGTCAACTATTGCTGTTTCATGGACTCTTGTGAAGCAGCGGATAGCTGGAAAAGAAGATGGCTTATCGAAATTAAGGAACAGTTTTATGTTTTTTATGTGCATCCTTTATTTGTAAGACGCATGGAGTCGCCGCTCTAGATATACACGATACTCTGTTGCTTAACGCATTCGGTTTTTCTAATTGAAAATGGCTAATCCAAGGGATCCGCTGACTGGCCGTAAACGAATAACTATTCTAATGATGAAAGAATGGAAGTAATATGGTTAGGTCGTATAGTCCAACTTACGAAAATAGGTCGTTTGACCTTGAAATAACATCTAGGTGTGATTTTACCTCCTTTAGTAAAACCTTTGAACATAATATTTTTCTCATTTTCGGCGCTGGGATTAAAATTCAGGGTTTCCATGTGAAAAAATCAAATTGACCTTGAATTCAGCTTCAAGGACATAGCCAAGGTCAAAATGAAGGTCTCCATCAAATGTGCCCTTGGGTGCCCTGCAATTTTCGCATTAAAAGTTATTCTTTAATATTCCTCTTTTTCTAGCTATACACTGCTTCACAACATTGCAGAGAAGAGCAACAATTGACCTTGTAATAACCTCTAGATGTAATGTTAGCCCTATGATATTTACACCGTTGAAAAGGAAATGTTTTTGGGTTTCTATTTCTGCAATAAAAAATGGAGGTTCCCTTTTGGAAAATTAACTTGTCCTTGACCTTTAAGGTGAAAGTCAACGTCAAATCCAAGGTGACTACTAGATGCACAATCTGATTTCCTAAAATTTTTAGAAATAAACTTTTTTCTAGCACCCTTAGTTTCCGAGATATCATGCTTATGCCGTATATCTGCTTGCAATTGGCCTCGCAAAGCTGACTTTTACCAAGGGCAGATATTTTGCGCTCTAGCGCGACAAAGTAGTGCTTTACGCTTTTCATACACAAATAGCTATATAAATGCTTACAATGAAGTAATCCTTGTTATATAGAATATCTTCGCAGCCTACTTTCATATTGGAGTGCAAAATGTCTTTGACAGTTTTGATGTTGGACTTAGGTTGTATCAGTAAATGTGACACAAGGCTCGCTGAGTAAAATTGGTATATGATTAATGAAAATAGAAACAGGCTCAATATGATTATTCTTCCGGATAGAAAGTGGGGTACGGCTGTGAGTCCTGAAAAATAAGATATAAAATTAGTTTGACTTCTCTGCTCTACGAATCGTAAAAAAAATTCTTACAGCTACCGCACTTTAGGTTACTAGTGACCACAACTAGTTGCTTTGATAGGGTTGCTACCGCTTTCCTAATGTGAGACCGCTCTTAAAATAAAGTTGCTGGTTACCTTGCTGACAAAAAGCTGCTACAGTGTTGATAACAAATAATCCCAATGAGTTATCTGTAGCTTTCCCTAAATAGCTACTCCTTTTCTCGCCTGTAGTAGACAGTTTTAGAGAAATAACGATCAGAGCTGCAACAACTAAGGTCAAGATCCATATTGAGGTAGACAGAGGTTTGAGGTATACATCAGCTGACCCTTTGATCTTTGGTCGACGGAAAATGAATGCCGATCTTGAAAAAAATATAATAATAATCATAAATTGTATGACGTGACTATAGACATTTCAAGAAGTTCATAGCAACCCAGACGAGCGTTAAGCGTTGTGGCTATTATACAAAAGTAGAGAGTCGCTCAATATTCTGGTTGCTATTCTCACATATTAAACAGTCGCTCGTGGAAGCAGAAAAACATCATAATTTCAAGTTATTCATTCATACCGGACTATTTCAATAACTACAATATATGGCTCAACTATACTTTAGCGCATATCGGAAATATTTCATTTCTTAGTTTAAAATGAAAGATTATGTAACTTGCACAAAAATATCGTTTGCTTGCTATTTTATAGAACTTCAAAGTTGCATTATGGGTGCTAATACTGTGGTATAGAACACAGATTTATAAGCTGTTTTCTTCTTGTTTATACAAAAGATTGTTCAAAATTATATGAATATAACATACATAGTATGTTACTGTGACACTATTCATCGCAATAATGCAATTTTGCATTATTTTAATGATGAAAATAGTTCATTGTTAAGTAGTCATTTCTTTTATTTCAGATAATTATTCCCATCACTACACCACCGTCACTGACATATTCTCTCCATCTAGTTGCGATGTTGCCAAATCATGGATAGTAATATACCTTAATTTGGTTTGTCAAATTCTGACTTATATACTAGCGCAAAAATGTGCAATCGACACAGGATTGTCATGAAAATGCGATTTGGAGGTGTGGCCGGCAGGTTTTACTGTACTAAATTCACCTTGTGCCCTACGATAGCGTTAGCTAAAGAGTCTTTTTTCAAGAATGCCTTATGCCCTTCACAAAAGTACTTCGGTCATTGATTTTCCTATATTATAGTTATAATCTATTTACTTTTTGTATGTATGTACTTGAAGAATTATTTAAAGTGAAGAGGCTGTTACAACATGTACCTAATTAAATGATATATATGAGAAATAACTGAAAAAGTAGCTGTTGCAAATCATTAAATAATGAAAACATGACAAAGAACATTGCAAGTTTTTTGATGATTTGATGAAATGATCGTTGATGTTTATTTAACTATATTGTTGGACGATGATGTGTTGGGTGAACCTGGCGAGGTGGTCCAAATCGACGAGTCATCGTTGGGTATTTTTATATGCAATGGCCGCTGGTGCCTTTTGTATTTTATGTCACGCGAGCCGCTGGTGCATTTTCTACTGTTTAGATACATACTGTTCAACATTTCATGTAGTTTTCGATAAATATTCTGACAGCCTTTCATAAAATAAGTCATTTACAATAAATTAAGACTTTTATCTTGCAAATAACCTCATTTCTAATTACGTATTTCTCCCAAAAAAGGTACAACTTGGCAACAATGGACATCATTTATCTTATCTGTCAAAAATGAGCGTTATAAAATGGCCATTGAGAATTATTTGTACTTACTACGCAAAATCTTTGATCTCATTGAAAATACGCAAAAAAAATGGTTGAGGAATTTCAAGAAGACATTGAAAAATCACCAAACAACACCTCTACACAGTTTACCAAGTAAATACAATCACTTACGTATGTATTTTGATCTGTTATTTAAGCTAATAAGCTAATGTGTAATACCACGTCTGGTTTTGAACCTTTTTTTGCAAAAACAACAATTTTTTACAATTTCACATCTATTTTCCTTAGTACTATACAGTGTATGTTATATTCTTATAATTTAGACATTTAGAGCATCCCTTTGTACAAAAAGCAAAAAAAGGCAGCATATAAAACAGAGTATTACCACCAAAAATGCAACTTCGAGGTTCTATAAAATAGCAAGCAGAGGGTTCCTTAAGGAAAAAATAATATTTTCGTGAAAGTTACATCCTAATCTTTCATTTTAAAGTAACAAATGAATTATTTGCGATATGCGCTAAAGTATAGTCTTACCCAATAAAGTACCTAATTTCCAAGAAACATTGTTTCTATTGGCGAACTTCTTAGTGAAGTCTTCAAGTCAGAGTATAAAGGCTAGCGATTGAATTGAAGTGTGAAATCTCACCTCAAAGACCATGTCTTTCGACCGTATTCAATCACTGTGCCTCGATCTACTCTAACAAATAACGGTGAGCTGCCATAGTCTATTTGCCTTCTTTGTAGCTGCCCCACTAGACCATCAAATGTTCCATCTTTTTGCAAGTACCCCCACGACTTGTGTACACCAATCACTTTTCTATAAAATGTATCATTCATCAAAAAATGGAGTCAACTTGGTTCAATCCACTTTCTCCCTTTTTCCATTATACTCGATTCAGTCAGATTTCATTTTAAATTTGAGGAACATCCTGTACAGAGTGTCCCCGAAGTAGACGGAACCCTCTAGAAGTTTGGCCATACAAAATAACGGATTCTTGTTTCTCATACTTGAACACTTCCCTATACCGAGTTTCATTCCTAAAATACTTCTCAAGCAGTAAGGAAAAATAGAAAATAAAATTGTAACTTTGACACCCTGTATCTCGCAAACTATCAACTTTTGGACTAAGGTATGTTTAGGTCAATTTACATATTTTGGTATGTAGAATATCTACAGTTTCGAGATTTCCCAACCTTTCGCAGACACCCTGTATACAATAGGGATTTAATATTTGAAAAAAAGCGCAAAATGTCCCATTTTCGACCCCGAAAAGCCAAATAAAAAACGAAAATGTTAATGTTGCCAAGGTTCCTTAATATTTTTCAAACATCAATAAACAAAATCCCTTGTCAACCTTTGTTTTTAACTTCCCAAATTTCGAAAATTCGATTTTGTCTTTTGGATGTGATAATAATATGACATGTACATCACGAAAAACCATGTCACTCACATTTATTTTAACAGTGAGTAGATCTGATCAAAAGAAATGTTTTTTTCCTTTAACATCTTTGTGGTAAAATTAAAGTAACAAAGTTATACCCCTTTAGAAGTTTGAGTACCGCCCTGTCTCAATAATAATATTATGTGCTCGTGTTTGGCAACAACGGATATAATCCGCCTTATCGGTTCATCGCATCGGAAACAAAAGAGCGAAAGAATTTGAAACGCTTATCACGATGTTTTTACTATTTGTATTGTATTCAGTCAATGTGTCAGTCGGTAACGCGTGAGTGAATAGGGGTGTTTGTTGCGTCGCTCAAACGAAATAAAAAATGGCACATGTTTACGGAAATGCTGAACTTGTGGACATGATTCTTATTTACCGGGGGGGAGAGTCTTTACAAAATGCTGCCGCGGCATCACGGATTTATGCGGATCGGTTTCCCAATCGAGTGCAACCAACCCCTCGTGCCTTTGTTAAGGTAGTACAAAGGGCTCGTGAATCAGGTGACTTAAGACCTCACAGGGGAGGGCATGCCGGTGCTCCAAGACCTCACGATCAAATACAGGTCCGCACTGAAATACTTGTCGGGAGGATACTTTATAAAACAAGGTAAAATTTTTTTTTTTTTATTTTTACACACATATTTTGGTTTATCTTCCTTCTACAATCATTATCTGAAAATTAATGACTCAACTTCATATATATACAGGGTATATTGAAAACTGTCAACCTTAGAGGGCAGTTCATAAAAACCTCTTTTACCACCAAAAATTCTATTCGGAGCTAAAAAAACAATTTATGGAACTTATTTAAAAATATTTGAAACTATTTTGGGGCTGGCATCATCCAGGTTCGTTGAAGGAAGTCCTTTTTGAATACGATTATGCAAAAAACAGAAACAGAATAATTTTTCACGCCTTTGGTTCCTAGGCTGTAGCTCAATTGAAAAATAACAGGCGTTTAAGTTACTTTACCGCCTTAGAGCATAAAGAAGTCCGTGGCGTGGTCTTAAAAAATCGTACTTATCGCCCAGAAAACCTAATCGGAAAGTACACTTTACCACACAGTCATAGATAAAGTATTGTTAATCACCTATGTGATTTTTTTAATCTGACAGTATAAAGTGTCTAATAAAGCATCAAGAGCAAATGTTATAAATGAATAATTCTCATGGTGTAACATATCAAATTCATTCCAGGACATAGACCCGTACGATGACGCAACGCTCAGATATGTTCGTACTTGAATTTAATTGACAACTGAGCAAAACACATTAGCGTAACTGTTTAAATGTTATAATAATCAATATCTGCTACCTACGTGAAATTATAATAATTCTCACAGTGACACATGAGGTTGTGGTGAAATCTGTTGAAGGTGTTTATTTCCCTGTCTTTATCGCTTTGGAGGTAGTTGGAGACGCTTCCTTCAAATGGAACTGGGAGCTGTAAACATTGTATACAGAGGGTATTACAGAATATTGTCAGAAAAAATATTCAGGTTCTATGCGTTAAAGTGTGAATACTTGAGGTTCAACAAAAATATACTAAGTGATATATAAATCCGAACACCCAGTTTAAATGGTTTTATTTTAATAAAATTTTGTATAAGTACTTAATGAAGCATAATAAGTAAATGATAAAAATTTCAAAATGATTGCACTGCTTTAAAGCCCTTTGACCTTTAAGAATGCGTGGACGCACCCTGATGTGCTACGCATTCTCCAACGCGCCTAGGCATGCTTCTGATGAGGTGGTCAATGTCCTCCTGTGGTATGTCATTCCAGGCAACCACAAACTCCTCTCGAAGTGCTTCTAGAGTCTGAGGAGGACGTTGCAAATTGAGCAATCTCCTACCCATCATATCCCACACGTGCTCAATTGGGGATAAGTCGGGAGATCTTGGTGGCCATGGTAACAATGTGACATCATTATGTTGAAAGAAGTCTATTGTGACTCTTGCAACATGTGGTCGGGCATTATCTTGTTGGAAAGTTGGATCTGCCAGGGTGTCAAGATAGGGTAAAAGATGGGGTTCTAGAACTTCGTGGATATAACGCTGCGCGTTCATGTTACCTCTGATGAAGATTAAAGGTGACCTGGAACCATAAGCTATAGCACCCCAAACCATAACTCCAACAATGTGATGAACATGTCTTTCAACAAAAAACTGTGGTTTCCTCCTTTCACCACGTCGCCTTCTAACCCTGGCACGACCATCGTGCATGCCTAAACAAAATCGAGACTCGTCACTAAAGACAATACTGTTCCATTCCTGATCCCAGAGTGACCGTTGTCTGCACCACTCAAGGCGATTACGTCAGTGTTCTCGAGTTAAAGGGAGGACCCATTGTGGCCGGTATGAAAACAAGCCAAAACTTCTCATTCGTCGGTAAACATTTCGCATGCCAATAGGTCTTCCGTGTTCTGCAAACCATTCATTTGCAATGGACCTGGTAGTGGAGAAACGGTTCCTTAAGCCCAATAATCTTAGGCGGCGATCTTCACGGTCTGTTGTTCTACGGCCTGCGTCCAGTGCCCCTTGCTCTTTGCGTACGGCCTTCTCGAAGCCATGCCTGACAACACCTAACCACAGTGTCTACACTTCTTTGCACTCTAACTGCAATTGCCCGAAAAGAAAGTCCAGCTTCCCGAAGTCCCACTATACGGCCCCTATCAAACTCACGTTGACGAAATCGTACAGGTCTCCGTACTCTAGGCATCGTAACCGATCGTAAAGAATGTCAGGAACCAAAATCCGTCAACGTTGATTCTTTACTGTGGCTGAAACATCGACTCGTTTTAAAGTCGATGGGCTGAAATATTCATTTTTAGAGCGTTAGTGAATTAAAAAATAGCAGTTTAAAAACCGAAATGTCCAACTTATAAGAGTGAAAATTTTTTCACTTGTTATTTACAGTAAGATAAATACATTCACCAACTTTTATTAAAATAAAACCATTTAAACTGGATGTTCGGATTTATATGTCACTTAGTATACAAGTTTGAGAATGAACTTGTCTTTGTTGAACTATCATTTCTCGGAAACAGATTGGGATATTGAGATGAGTCATAGTACACACAAATTTATTGCCGTCCAAAATTGTCTTCTATGTTTAGCGAAAAATCAGTACGTCGCCGTCGCTGCTGTTTCTTAAACCAGTCTTAAGACAAAGTCGATTGTACTCAAAACCTGCCCCTCGGAGTTGATAATACCACTTTCACCGTCCGATCAAACAGAACGCCAACGTGTATAGCTGTTTCATGCTTATTGGCAATCATCAGTCTATTGGTAGGTCTCTAGGAAAGACAACAAACGAAAGCAGATCGAAGTATCCTCTATCGGAGGTAGAAGGTCTATTCAAATACCATCGCACAGAGAGTGAACTGGAACTGTAAATGAATTTCAGTTCGTATCGAAAGCCGAGTCCTCACTGTGACCGCTTGATGCCGTCGATTCTGGCGATATAGTAGATGCGGCCTACTTGCCATTGAAAACCAATAATTCTGCTTTTATTTGTCCGACCAAAGATAGCGCCAAACGTGTACAGTTGCTTCACGCTTATTGGTAATCAATAACGAATGGAAACAAAAAACTAAGTGTACTTCATCGGAGGTATAAGGTAAATCCAAACACGACAGGAAACGTGGCATCCCTTACCAAAATCGACCAGTGCGAGGGTGAATAGCAGCTATCTTTTGGAACTGTAAAGTAATCCCACTTCGTATCGATCTCTTGGTGCCGTCGATTCTGGCGATAATAATACTGCTTTCGTCCGTCCGATCAAAGCGCCAACCGTGTACACTTGTTTCGTTGATATTGGCAATCTTCAGCACGGTCTAGGCATGTCTCTAGGAAGTATAACGAAAGCATCCTCTATCGTAAGTGTAAGGTCTGTCCAAATACGATATCAATATGCAGTTTAGGAGATAACCGAATTCTTAGGGGATTCAGGATTGAAAATTTCATTTATTCATACAGATGTACAGATAGGGTGTTCAGTAGCTACTCAGTAGCTCACAGGACTTCGAACTGTGAACAGTTTTTGAAGATGCCAACCACTCGTGTTGGCGAAACGACAAATAAAAATATTTTACGACGGCGTAAATACCTGAAAACCAACCAAATAACATTGGATGATGGCCGCGAAAGCCTTTCGCATTTCATTTATTTATTTTATTTATCTTCTCTACATACCACTACAGTAGTCTTCAACTTTACACCAGTCATATTCCTTCTCACCCAATACTTGCATTGTTTTTCTCTCGCATGGTACCCATGGGTGGTATTGAACGTACCCAATATGCGTCTCTTCAGTTGTCCCCCTTTTCCTGCAGCTGGGTTATACACTTCTTCGATGATATAATGGTTCTTAGCGTCGCCTTCAGATGGATAAGCTACATGGATGTCCGAGTTAATGAACATCGTCACATTGTCAAATAGGTAGGAGAAGTTCTGAGTAGATGTTATGATTAGCCAGTGGTGTTGCACATTGAACAAGTCGTTTTCTCCACTCTAAAATACATATTCGTCTCTCAAATTCACTGCTTATCCATTGCATTGGAAAAGGTACATACTACAGGGTTGCCCAAAATGAACGATATAGTTTAACGGGAAATTTGTTTTGAAATATATCACGCGTCCGAAATATGAAATGAACTGAATAACCGTCAGGTCTTCTACGGTAATTTGTCACAGCTATGTTTCCTATGTCTGCGATAATCGTAGATCTTCTTTAAAAAAGTACCAGTATACTCTGGTGCCGAAAAGGAGGAGAGCAGCAAAACACGCCGCACGCCCATGCCAGTGCGGCATCTTGAATTAACAAAGTCGCGCGGGTATCCCGTCCAATCGAGAAGATAGTAACCTTTTCAAAGTAGACCTATGATTATCGCGGACAGGAGAGACCATGAAGATAGGGAGGTAAAACTGCGAAAGGGATACATGTATTCGTATGAAGCCAATCTTGTCGCTAAGGAGGGCGTGGCTCTCGGAAATCTAGTGGGCGTAGAACATGGCGTAGAGCGACAATAACAGAGAGCGATGCCACATGCGCAGAACCTGAAATATATTTTCTGCGCGGTGTACATATCCATGTTTTTCCGGCTACTTTTCTGCAATACCAAAATGTGCACTTGCTGTACCCATCCATAAAAAAGGTGACAATGATAACATTTATAATTATTATTTCTATTCTAAGCATAATCTCCAAAATTTTCGAAAGAATCGTTTACAACAGGATATGTTCCTACCTTAGATAAAATCTAGGACTATTATTTGATGAAGGCTTGCATTTCAAGAATCATATAACCAATTATATAAGGAAAGCCTTCAACAAACTAAAAAACGTATAAGGCTACAGACATAGGTGTTAAATATCAATACCAAAATTTTATTGACAGATCCTAATGTACTATCACACTTTAATTTCTGTGATATTTCATACAACAAATATATAGATAACATCGATGGAAAAAGAATACATAAAATTCAAAACTCGTGCTCAAGACTCATTCATCCAATTCGACGTAGAAAAATTATTTCACTTAAGTCAGACGAAATAAACTGGTTAAATATGAAAAATAGACGAGAACTGCATATCATAAGATTGTGACCATGAAAACTTCTTTAAATTTATGTAACAAAATTACCCTTCGCCAAGAAAGTAAACATAAAGTCTACAACTACAATCACACCACCAGTTCATCGTACTGGTGTATTTGAAATATCCTTTTCTTATAATATCTTCGAAACATATAACGCTGCCCTCAATACTTGAAATCCAAATCGCTAGGTTTTTCCACAAAATACTACACCAGGTTTCTGAGATCTCGCTACAGTAACGTATCATGTTAAATATCTAAATGGCTTATTTGTACGCTTTGTAGAATCTCAATATGCACTTATACGTATATGATTACATCTATCTTTCACTGTACTTTTTTAATTTTTCTTTCTGTTTGTGTTTTGTCAACCTTTCCTTTCTTTCATACGTGTTAGACACGTCATTGTTTTGAAACAGCTGCTTATAATTGGATACTATACTTATATCTTGCTTTATTCTTATATTTTTATATTTTAAGCTTGAATGTATGTAAGATAGTTCAGTGCGTTATGTAAGGTTAAGTGGAAGACCAGCTATTCCCCTAGAAATGAAAGCTAAACTTCGCCTTTTCCGGGTACCAATTCATATCTTCGTACATGAATAAAGGTGATTATTATTACTATATGAAAAATCTATAGAAACTGCTTGTTGCTATCTTCTTGAATACATCTATGAGAATCTTTACAATGGTCGATATGTAATATCATTGTTGTTCGATTTATCGAAGGTATTTGTGTCATCCAGAATTTATGCCTCCTGCTCATGTTAATTTATTGGTGGATTATTCTACTGTAGGGGAACCTGTTGTACCCAGGTCAGTTTTTTGAATTTTGATTTTTTTTGATAATGGTGCCAGTTGCACCTGTCCAGTGTGTATGTATGTAAAGATCATTTGATTAACTACATAATTAATTCATAAAACTGTGTTTATTTTCATAAGCCTGGTGCCACTAAACACTTGAAAAAAAAGAGAAAACTGTCCTAGGTACAAAAAATTAGATGTACCTTGGGCCGAGTCTGTTGTACCTTAGACAGAGCAGCTTCAAACCAAGATAAACACTTTTTTAACTATAATTTATTTATTTTCTGTTGAAATAATATTAGTAGTAATTAGTAATTACAGTTAGTTTTAATATAAATTCTAATAAAACATCCACTAAAGTCACTGGGTTAAACAAAAATAAACCATAAATATTTAAGAACAACAAAAATAAGCTTCAAAAAACTTAAGTAGAAAAAGATTGTCAGACTCAGACTTTCAGTTACTGCTTCGAGATCAATTATTATATTTAATTGAATAGGATTTAACAAAAATCCCAGTATATCTCAATTTCTGGAACACGATAAACTTCTTTCTTTGGCGGGTTAATCTTTCTCTTAATATCTTGGTACGGATACAGATTCAAATCACCTTTATCAGGCCATTTCCAGTTTTTCAAAGATTTTTGCATTGATTTTATCAAAACTCCTTCTTCACTAAGAGACTCTATTTTACCTACGAAGTATTCTTCTTCATATATAAATATCACAAAGTCTCCTTTCTCATAACTGACATTTTTTTTTATACTCCAACTTCCACGAAGGCCTAAGGCCTAAGCAACCATTGGGTACCGTGGGGCTATAGGGGGATACATGGGAAAGGGGGGGGGACGCCACACGGAATCTGGCGAGGGAACACGTGTGCATGCAACATGCACACATTCTGGCTCCGCCTACGAGAACCGCCGGGTGGTACCTCCGCGTTCGACAGTCAGAGACCATCTACCACCTATGGGCAATCACAACATCCATAGCCAAGAGAAAAATTTCTCCTGGGACGGGACTCGAACCCGCACAGCGCACGGCGACTGATCAGGAGACCGAAGAGTCTACTACTGCGGCCACCGCTGCTGCCCTATCTTCATCCATCAAACTGTCGCCGTTTTCATTTTCTCCATAAAAGTCATCACTATCAGTATCGTGGCCGGAATAGTTGGAATCCTCAGAGTCAGACTCAATCAGGACTTTTCGTTTCACTCTATTTTCTTCCATGCCTTACCCTTGCATTTCTTCAGTTTACGATCACCTTTGAGACTAACTTTTTTAACTTGTTTTAAAGTTTCAATTGCGTTTTTCTCTGATGTGTTCGTTAGTATTATACATTTGCTTTTTGGTCTAAATGTTTGGGTTCCTTTTCTAGGTGCGGCTTTTGGATGTGGGCGAATTATTTCAGAGGTTATAAGTTTTGAAGAACTTGGCCCAACTTCCTGAGATGTTTTAGGAACATTCAAAGGGTGCATTTCAGCTTGTTCAGGGGGCTCTTGGGACAATTCTTGAGTGGAGTGATTGTCAGCAAGTGCACAAGATTCTTGTTGTAAAAGATGATCCACTTGGATTGGGGGCTTCTTGGGGCACAGGAGAATCAACTTGGACTGGAGGGTTTTGAAGCAGTGAGTTGTCACCACGTGCAGATACTTCTTCGGGTAAATAACGATCAGGCTGTGTGGAAGTTTCTTGGGGTAATGAATCCGATCAAAATGATGTACTTTGGCCAGTGACCGAGGTACATCGTAAATTGGGTGGCTAAGGTACAACATCGTGACATTTTCACTCAACAAGCTTTATAACACCACTTGCGATTGAGGTTAGGATCTAACACTCATGCCGCCTAGTAGCTAGATATACTAAGATTAAATTCTAAATAAAACAGTTTCTTCAAACACGCTTTTCTTTAAATAAATTGGCATAAAGTAAAGCCCAAAAAACTTACTTTTGGCGTGTAAATAAATAAATTACACTTTTTAACTGTACTCAAACTGCGCCGGCGAATCGCACCTTACTTCACGTTAATGTTGAAAAATTCTGATTCAAATACCATAGACAAAGGCTCTTAAAAGCAAGGGATATTTGAATAAAATATGATTGTTCTAGGTACACCTCTGTCCAAGGTACAACAGGTTCCCCTACATTGCTACCACGACTGATGAGCTTCACTCAAACAGGTTACTGATGAACGAAACTCAGACTGTCACTGTTAATTTTACCATCTGTAGACGTATCCCAGAAGTAAGCAATGTCTCTTGGCTGACTCTTAAACAGAACTCGGGCAAATGGGGACGCTAATTCAAGCTGACTCTCCGCTAGATACTATGTTACTCAGAAGTCTTCACAGTTGCACACTGAGGTGGAACAACATATCCCAAGCTTCCTTTACTAAAAACAGTTAATTGGGAAAACGGGCGCGTTATAAATAATTCAAACCGTATCGTTCATTTTGCGTCATCCTGTATTATGGTCTACGAAATCACTTACTTGAATAAGCAAATCTTTGGAATTCGAACAATCACCATCAAGGACAATACCAATGTGGTAATGAGTGGTTTTCAAAATTCCAAATTTACTAATTTCATCTATGTTGCGTATTAAGATTATCTGTTTCTTGTTCGACAGATGTTTCGTGATAACAAACTTTTCTGCAATTGATGATTATATACAAAGCATTTGCAAGATTAATTAAGAAGCCTTTAAATCAATCTGGTATTGATTAACCAATCAGAATTGAAAATGGCATATACTTTTTTAAATATTAAATCGCTTGTATCTCGAAAACCATCATTTTTAGAGAAAAGTACATTCGAACTATTTTGTTCACAATGGCCAAGCAAATCCAAAAAACTTTACTCGAAACGAAAATGACATTTTTGCCCTATATAAAAACCTGGAATGAATTTTTTTGTAAGAGTTGAAACTTGTGACGTTTCTAATCCCGGTAACAACGCGATGCTTTTGTAAATGATTACTGTTTTTATATCTACACATATACTAAGTAACATTAGAAGTGTTACACACAGAAAAAATAATATCTTCCACTTGTCTTCTTGGCAACATAATGACTATTTTTGTTCACTTTTTTAAAATGTTATCTCTTAGTTTTTTTGAAGAATGAAGTTTCTTCAAAATGAGTTCCAAAACGTCCAAATTATCACCTTGCTGCATGATTTTACCTCTGTTTATAAATCTGAGATATATAATGAAAATTACAGTGGTCCCAACACAGATCCCTGTGGTACACCAGAACAAATTTTTTGCGCGGTAGGATACTGTTGATTTAAACGAACCATTGAAATCGATTTTCAAGGTAGGTTTGAATAAATACTAAACGCTACTTCGCAAAAGCTTTGATATACTGTGCCGTAGCATCACCTGCTTTGAGGTGCAATTACTTGTTTCCATACATCTACATAAATCGTACATAAATAATTCTCAAATTACCGCATAATTGTCTTGAATAATTCACTACGATAATCTAAAAATCATATCAGCTGAGAAAGTAATGGCAAACTCACCGTGTTTCTTGAAACACCCAACGATATTGGCATGGCCAATGAATTTCTCCTCGAAATAACCGTCTATTAAATCTAATTCCATGAAACCGTTCACCAAATCGACCAAGATTATTGCAATTACGGTAATGGGACACAAGATATGCATCGTGCCTAGCTCCTGAAAAAGTGTTTGAAAAAATATCGCGTAGAGACACATGACAGTGATTGGAAAATTGGACTCATTACCTCACGGCAGCTGAGACAAGTTAACATCCATGATTTTCATTTGAAATATGCATGGATTCATGAGATATGATGTAGACCACAAGATGTCTACCTTGGAGTCCGAAGTCAATTTAGTGCTGAGGCTTACGGGTGGCCCGAGAAGGGTTATTACCAGATTGTCGAGATTTGTCGCCAAATAACAAAACAAAAATTTAAAATTACGGAAATTTTAAATTACGCTGTTTTAAAGTCGATTGAACGAAACGCGCGTTGTCTCATATTTTGATCTCGTACGTTTTCTATATATATGAATGACTTGCCAAAAACAGCGAAAACTATTATGTTAGACACAAGTTAGCTCTCCTGAGAAACAAGTTAGCGACGAACATGTAAAACAAAAGACCCTCCTTTTGAGAGAAATTTCTGCAGGCGCACATGATCGTTGCTATGCCTAATCCCGCGTGGATGACGTTACTGACTTTTACAGTATACAACCCACACCAGCACGAAAGCGATTGAAATTCATAGTGGCCCATCCATAAAGAAGTACATTTTGAGAAAATCTATTTATGACACGAAATTCGAGGTCACATTTCTCAAATATACAGGGTGTCCCAATTTTGACCTATACATATTTCAAAGTTGTGATTTTTTAATTGGAATACCTCAAATTTTATTGCATATTTTATAAACCAATTCAAAAGAAGAAGATTGATATAACATACTATGGGGTTTTGGTAATTAGCTACTGAGATGTAAGGTGTTCTGTCCAGAAAAACCGTCCACTTCGGCAACCCCTCAATCCGCCATTTTTAAATTTGGAGTGCTGAATTTTGTATCAAAAAAAAACTTACACACCTCAGCTTTTATCTTATATGTTACTTTTTGCTCATACAGGGTGGTCAAAAACGCGAATTGTGCTTTTTCTCAAAAATTCCAAATCCATCACCCTGTATATTTGTGCAAGTTTGGATTCAATTTTTTATTAGGTTTTTTTTGGTAGAAGGTTTGATTCAGATAAAATCACTAGATTTTGAGTTGTTAAGCTTTTAATAGAACAACACACCAAAATTAAGAAAAAAATCACATCATCCATGGAAACAAAAGACAAACAGTGGGCTAGTTCCGTATTTTATTTATAATTTATTTATTTATTTATTTTTTATTTATAATAATCTATTCAAAGCCTGAACAGAGTGATCCCATTAACAGGCAGGGAAAAAACAAAAAATGATACAAAAACAAAACTCTAAACATGATAAAAAAGACATAAATATTAATTATCTAATTGTTAAAAAGCACCTCTTGAGATTGATTTTGGTGGAACTAAAAATATCAAGTTCACTTACACTGTCACAGACATTACACATAACATAAAGAGGCGAAAATAACAATAAATTTGTCCGCGGAACAGGTAAATAAAATGAATTGTTACCACCATGACGAGTACGCCAATCGGGAACGCGTAGAGAGATCCTGTCTAGAAGAAAAGAGCAATCAATTGTTCCATTCAACAAATTACATAAAAAATTAGCAGCTAACAGATTCATACGTTTGACTAAATTATATCTACGTAAGAGAATGTCATTGCGTATACCCCTTTCAGGGTACGCTCTATCATCTTTAAACCATAAGTATTTCACAAAACGACGTTGGATTCTATCGATATTTTTACAGTGTATATCATAGGCCGGGTACCAGATAATCGAACAGTATTCTAAAATAGATCTGACAAAAACATTAAAAAGTAAAATTACTGTATTAGTATTATTGAAATGTCTACTGTTTCTTATAACAAAACCAAGATGTTCAAAATTAAAACATATCGGTTCCACCCTGCCTGTAAACGTCATAGTAGTACATTTATTGACATTCAAGTGCATGTTATTTACTTTACACCAGTGATCAATGACATTCAAATCAGCCTGTAACCTTAAACTGTCTTCTAAGCAACACACGCTATCAAAGATTTTGAGGTCATCGGCATATAGCAGGTACTCACAACGCAAGTCTGTTGTATACATCATTGATAAAAATTAAAAATAATAGAGGACCCAGAACAGAACCTTGGGGCACCCCCGATGTAGCTAAAACCGCACCAGACTTATATCCACGGAAGTCCACACGTATTGCCACTAAGAGTACGGCTTTGACGTAAAAACTAATAACAATCAGAACAGTATAAGTCAGCTTTAAGCGTAATAGAGAAAAAGAACTATAACAACAACATAAACAAATAAGTATCACTACTCAAGACCTAATCTACAAACACTGCTCGAAAATATCCCCACCTTGTTGAATACACAGCCGTAGTCTTTGAATAAATAACCTTATGTTCAGAAAAGCATCCTTAATCCTTTCCTTCGTATATCGGTGTCATATCTGGTGATCTAGTAGGCCAAGATATAGGCCCATCACGACCGATCCAACGATTGTTACTCCAGGTGTCCAAACAGTTATGCACACGATTATGATAATGCGCAGGTGCGCCGTCATGTTGGAGGTGCATATGCATCCGAGTTTGCAGGTTGACATCTTCCAAAAGCAAAGGCAAATGCTCGATCAAAAAAGTCAAGTATTCTGCACCTGTTAATCTGTTGTCGAAAAAGAAAGGCCCGATAACTTGCCTGCCAATAACTCCTTCCCATTTATTTTGGAAATCTATTTGCCTAACCCAGTAAGGGTTTTCTGTCGCATAATAGTGCATGTTATGCCTGTTGACAACACCTATGCTGTTAAAAGTTGGCTCATCGCTAAAAAAAACCTTATCCAAGTAGTGTCTTCACTCACTTTATTTAGCATTATTCTACTAAACTCCATTCTAGCTGCGAAATCCTGAAGAAGAAGGCCTTGATGCAAGTATAGGTAATATGGATGGTACCTATGCTTGTGAATAATCCTTTAGACAGAAGTTCTTCATATGATTTTCCTGCAACTTTAATAGAACCTCCAACTGGTTCGCCTCATTGGTGACACTTGGATTATTTATACATTTGTATGTCCAGTATCAAAAAAAAGCTTATAAACAGATTTAATGAAATTTTTGAAAAAAACTGCAATTTGCGTTTTTGACCACCCTGTATGAGCAAAAATTAGAATTCGAAAAAGTAACAAATAAGATAAAAGCTGAGGTGTGTAAGTTTTTTTTGATACAAAATTTAGCACTTCAAATTTCAAAATGGCGGACTGAGAAGGTTTTTCTAGACAAATCACCTTATATCGCAGTAACTAATTACCAAAACCCCATAGTATGCTATACCAATCTTCTTCTTTTGAATTGTTTAATCCAAATACGCAATAAAATTTGAGGCATTCTATTTAAAAAATCAGAACTTTGATATGTAGGTCAAAATTGGCACACCCTGTATAATTGCAAATATTTTAGAAATGTGGCCTCAAATTTCATGCCATAAATTGATTTTCCCAAAATACATTTCTTTATGAGTAATATTCCGTCCACACATGGATGGGCCACCCTCTACATCTAATAAGTGCGTAACGTTACTGGATTTGGAGGCATATAAATACTCCAACGCCAAAAATTGAGATAAACTCGCCCGCAGTCCCTCCAAGTTTTAATCACACGTTCCCCTGTCTCCCCTCCAACCCCGGCGCATCAAGCGTTGCCAGACCGAACCCCACGTTGCCAGTCTCATCACACAATTTACAGACCTCAGATATGTCCTGGCCATATCGTAAAATAGAATGTATCATTCTCCATTGGGAAGATCACGATGTGCGTTGACCAAAGCAATTTTAACAAATCGTTTATGGATATGATCAACTAAGCGCGCGGCTACTTTAAGTATGTTTGATCATAACGTAAAATAATTGCTTTCATTACCGATAGAGGCGCTGGGAGCGTTTTATTTCAACATGGCGGCTGTTAAATTGCTTTTGTGTGACAATTCTAATAATTCGTTATTAAATGAGGAAGAAAGTGAGGTTAAAACATTTTCGACAAAAAGGTACTCGATTACTATGCGGACCACGCAAATACCGATCAAAAAACCGTGGAGCGGAACATGTTTCACAGGTTTTCACTTCACGCTGATATTACTTTATTTTTATTCACTTATTTGACGTAAAAATCGTGTGCCAGCTAAGATACTCGAATGACTATATTACTCAACGTATGTGGAATGAAAACTCATCTCAATTATTATTTCATGTTTAGGTTATAGGTTAAATAAAGGAGAGTAGGGTGGTCACGCGAGGTAATAACTCATTTTGTGATATGCTTAAATATATTTAATTTTTGATACGTTGTGCAATTTATATATACTTATTTAAAATTTCATAGAGTTACTAGTTCTAATAAAGATGCTTGTCGATAAGCGAGTTGTAACATTTTGTCTTCTTATTAAATATTTAATGAGCACCCTATTTTACGATATGGTCAATCGCGGATGACCAGATTGTTAAAGATTGACGATTTAATGATATGGTCAAATTTAATTGGCCATTTCACGCAACCCATGCATGAAATGGTCAATTCTACGATATGACCACGGCGTGTAGTATATGACAAGACGCGATGCATTTATAATGACTTCAATTTCGATTTGAGCTAACCAAAATACCTACGGTAATGATCATTTGAATCATTCAGAGCATCTTTATTTTTGGTCATCATTTATTACAAAAAGTCTAGATACGTATTATCAAGAATTCTAATTATTAAAAAACGTATCATAAGCAATTTTTAAAACTTTTTGCTCGTCTGTGATTTGGATGAGTGTTCGGTATCTGAGAAAATGGTGAGCGTAGATTCCAAATCTGATGTACATCGGTAGTGAGGATGTCTCCTCGATGTCAAGGCTGGTTTTGTACAAAAAACTAGGAAAAAGATAATCGTATATTTTTGTAGTGCTTTATTAAGTTCTCTGAAACTGCAATACGTGACAAGGAAAAAATCTGATCGTTACAAATAGCTATTCGGTCCTCTGAAAATATAATTTTGCACTCTACTTGTTGCTAAATATCAATATTGATGAAATCAAATTTCATAAAATCACAGAATTCTCTTTGCAACATTCAATCAGTATAAGGATAGAGATAACCAAACGTTCCCCTGAACATATGCTTGATGGCTATCCATACATGTGAGTACATCACAAGTTCAATTAACATAAATACTAAAGAAAAACAAACACCATAACAGAGAGCAATTAAGCCGCACGAAAATTCTTTCAAATTGACGTGAATCTCTTTTTTCTTAGCCGCTTGAATGCAGATAGGTTTCCTTGCATCCCAGTATTTTCGAAGACGATCCATATTGCCATTTTCCATCAATTTGAACATGCTAAAACAAAAAATGGGTTACTATCGATTAGCTATGTCAAAAAATCAGAACAGCTACACAATTCGCAATGGTGAGAATGAAGTTTGTAGAGCCTGTAAGGCTGTGAGGTGACACTGAAGGTTTAGGCCGCGGTTATACTCCGCGGATGCATGTGATAGATTAGCGGTTTCCAACCTTTTTCCTTCTGTGAACCCCTTATAAAAATTGGAATACATCGGCGAACCCCCTGAGCAGTCGTTAGTGAGAGTAAATAAAACAGTACTATTTGGCTGTTATCAAAATTTATTGATCATATTGTAGCGTTTTTCTGAGTTCTTTTGGGTGTGGATTAACACACTGGATCCCACAAAAAGAAATGCAGTAATTTATTTAACTTGATAGAACATTTATATACACCACTATTTATGTCATACTAATTCTTATGTCGCCATTGACTGCACTATACTACTCCACTCCGCTCCGCTAATATGTACTCTCTGCCCCCATCTCCCGGCCGCCGAGTTATATAGTCCCAATTGCTGCTTCGAGAAAGGCCGGGTGAACCACAAAGCGACATCTAGAATACTGGAGGTCACTTCGCGTCAATCTGGAAGGCGATCCATTGTCACGATCCTCACAGACGCCGCCAAGCGGCTTGTGCGGTCGTGGTTCGCGTAAAAGCAGAGATCGGCCATTACGCTCTGGTGAGTAGGAGACTCGCCCAACAGATAGCGCCAACAGAACTATTCGTCACAATATGAATAATAGTTATAATGAGCAAAGTAAATTAAAACTTAACTGTAACGTAGAACATTTAGAGAAACGTTATTAAAACCAACTAAGCCTTACAAAAAAAAGGATTAATATAATATGAATACAAGTAATTCGATACTTGAAAATATCCTCAATGGGATATTTGTGCCTGTTTGTTGGAACAAAGAAATTCAAAATTTGGTTCAAAGTCCGAAAGCTTAAGTCTTAGATCGGGTTCTGCATTTAATCTATTTCTGTACTTTCTTTCTCACACAGATACGTTGTGCAGAACGGTAACAAAATGTTTATTGCTTTTTTGCTAAGATAGGGTATTCATTTATTACATTGAGTCAGAAGTCTATTAAAGAATGATCTTCAAAAACAGCTTTTAGAGAATTGTCAGAGGATAAATGAATGAGCTTTTCTTTTTCCAATAAAGATAAAGAAGTGTTAGAAACTATATCTCCTTCAAAAGGATTGCGTATGCAGTTGTTTGATCCAGGTTTATTAGGAAAATACTCCTAGAACGTCAACTGAACCTGTGTGAGATGTTCAGTAATATATCTTTTAATGTTTTCGTTAAGTTGAGTTTCTCATTCATCTGCAGAAATTGATTCCAAAACTTGAACTTCTTTAGCATAGCTTCTATTCTATCATGAACATTGGAATTGGTTATTCCTGGACCTTGTAAAGATATATTTAGTTCATTTAATATAGAAAAAATATCGGCTAAGTATTCAAGGTTCTGGAGCCACAGAATGTCAGATACAGAAGCGGACAAATGAAATGGATGGTCAAGAAAAAGTGCCTGAACTTCATACTTCGATTCAAACAATCAAAATTTTGCCACGACAAAGCCACCTAACTTCTGTATGAAGTAATAAAGAGACGTTGAGACTTCCCAGGTCCTCACAAAGTTCACGGAATAGACGAGAATTTTTAGCAAGGTACTTTATAAAATTCACAACTTATACAGCTTAGCTTAAAGTACTGGCTAACTCTGCAGGAATACGGTTACATGCCAATGCTTGCCATCAATACAGCAGTGAGTTCTTTATTCGTGCCAGAAAACCAGAATATGTTCGTCATTGATTTTACACCATCTGTGCATACACCTGAGCAAAATGACCAGTTGATTTCATGTTTTTCAAAATAGTCATTGATCGGATTAAAAATTTATTTAATAAGTTTCCAGTGGTTTTGCAAATAACACATCTTCTTGAATGGAATTCTTAAAAATGTATCTAACATACACGAGCAATATTGCACAGTTTGCTACATCGATCAACTCGTCAAGCTAAATAGCAAAATGATTCCAAGCATACAGATTGCGATGCCTTTAGCACAAGGTCCGATCAAATTTTCTGCCTCTGTATGAGCTTTTCCAGATATTGCGATTCTGTCACTAGCTCGAAATGATGCTTCAAGAGACATTTTACTATCCGCGTTGAAAGCCGACAGGAAAGAAGAAACACTACAATTGAAATAAAAACCCATTTGCAAATAGTCAGTGTCGTATTTTTGTTTCTTTCATTTTTTTCCACCATGCTTGTCTATGTTCTCATTACTTTTATTCTGGCCACGCTCTGTTGGACCCAAATCGGGAACCGAAGAAGAAGCAGTAGTTGATTGCTCATCTAGCTTTCCGTCAGAGTTCACAAAAGTGTCCATCTTAAATTTACAGAATATTATTATATTTATTTAATTTCACGTTCGACATGCGTACGGCTCACGAAGCGCGTTCGACTGTACTCGTACTTCCGTTTTTTTTTTTTTTGTGGTGAGGGGGGAATGCATTTACGCACCATACCATATCCCGAGCTACGGCGTGTGTGGGACTCCAGGCTCTTGAGGAGAGCACCTAATACCCACTAAACCCTAAACCTCCGCGTGGCCCGACTCATCAGCGTCTCGGTAGGCCATGTGTTGTGCGTGACCTGCGGTCTGCTACAACGTCTCCTCATGTGTTTCAGTCTCTGGGAACGCCGGGTTGGTTCCCTTTACCTCGCACATTCTATCGATGTCGTTAAGCGATCATCGATAGAGGGTCTGCTGGTTCTCTTGAAACTCTTGTTTTCGAAAAATCAAGAGTTTCAAGTCCTCTTACCAATATGTTGTTCCTGGTCCTGGTCCTGAAGGGTCCTGGTCCTGGTGGGTCCTGGTCGTGGCGGGTCCTGGTCGTGGCGGGTCCTGGTCGTGGCGGGTCCTGGTCCTGGTTGGTCCTGGTTCCGGTGGGTCCTGGTCCCGGTGGTTCCTGGTCCTCTGCATCCACGCCGTGGGGGGGGGGTAGCGGGTCCTCCTAGTCTCCTAGTCAAGGTTCCAGTTAGCGGGTGCCAACTGGGACCTTGGTCTGGGGTACCTGGTTCTGCGGTTGCGAGGCCTCTCGTCCGGATCGTAGTCCATGAGGAATCGTAGCTGCTCGTTCGGGTGGTCCTGAGCTTTCTCGAAGGTCTTCTCCGCTTTTTTCCTCATGTACTCGTGGATGGTGTCCCAGTGCAGGTCTCTACGCAAGGTTGAGTTTCTTACGTAGGATGGTGCACTGGTGACGATCCGGAGTAGCTTCATCTCTAGAGAAGCAAGTCGCTTGCGGTAGCTGGGGGCAGCGTGCCCCCAGACTGCGGAGGCGTAAGCGAGCTGAGGTCTGGCGATGGCCTTGATCAGCCGTAGCTTGGTCGCTAGCGGCATCTGGCTGTGTCTACCCAGTAATGGATAGAGTTGAGCCATGGCTGCTCTGGTCTTTGCGATGACAGCTTCTATGTGCGCTTTCCAGGTGAGGGACTTGTCAAATACGATCCCCAGATATTTGACATTGTCGCTCCACTGGATATCTTCGTCGAAGATGGATGCTTTGAGAGGTCTTGCAATCCTTCTTCGTTAAATGAAGATTGCCTGCGTCTTCTGGACGTTGATGCGGATTTTCCATTTCACGCACCAGTCCTGAATGTGGTCCAGTTCATCCTGTAGTCTCCTACGGATGATCTCGGGTCGTCTATGCTTGGCGGCTATAGCAGTGTCGTCTGCATATAGGGCCAGCATTGTGTCAGCTGTCTTCGGCACATCGTGAGTATAGTTGTTGTAGAGCAGGGGGGGCTAAGGCTGACCCCTGGGGCACGCCTGCTTCCAGCTGTCGTCTTGTTGAATGGCATGTACCAATCTTCACCGTGAACCATCTTTGTGTTAGATAGCTCTGGATCAGTTGGCACATGTTCGCATCGATTCCGGCGGCTTCCATTTTGGCGATGAGTCCATCGTGCCAAACTCGGTCGAAGGCTCGTTCCACGTCCAGCAGGACGAGACCGGTTGCCTCCTGGAGATTGAAGCCGCTGGTGATGTTTTCTGTCAGTCGTAGCGCTTGGAGTTCCGTGTTGTGCGAGGATCTGAAGCCGAATTGCTCTGGGGGGAGAAGTTGCAGTTCTTCTGCCTGCTTCTCTAGTCGAACGGCGATAGCCTTTTCGACTACTTTGCCCATCGAGGAAACCAGGCTGATGGGCCGGTAGTTCTGGGGCAACTTCCGGTCCTTGCCTGACTTGCGTACTTCCGTGACTGCGACCTACTATATTTATATCTGCAGACATTATTCTCGTTCTTTCCAGTACATTCTCAGAAAGGTCTCGGTGCGATTCGCCGAAGTAGAACTCTTGCCGGATTGTTGTAGCGGCGGTATTGCAATATTGAGGACAAATTCCGGCATTACCATAATTTTTTCGCGAACCCCCTTCATATAGCTCGCGAATCCCTAGATAGATGACGGGTGGTAGGCGACAGGCAACATGCATTGTTTTTGATGTAACCTATTATATAATAGTAATCTTACCAAAAATTCATCATCTCTCTAAAAGGAGAGTTTTTCTGCAAATTCGTATGCATAGGCTGCGTTCTGTACATCTGAACTTCTTCAAGGTCACAAATTTCTTCATTTCTGAATGTTCTCTCGATAATTGGATAAGCTGTGCTCGTTTCTACATGGAATGCAAAGCCTCCCTGTTTTACGAGAGGTATTCCCTCCTCAGGAGAGTAGAATCCAGAACTGTTGGATTCGCCTTTGATTTTAATTTCGTACAACTGGATGGCGTAAGGGTCAGTTGTTTGCTACAAAAATCTTAATATCAAATTTACTATAATCATTGTTGACAAATCTATAGTGGCATATACAGTGTGTCCAAATATTCCGTGAATATACCAGGTATTTCTAGAGTCAAAAGATTTAGAGTCGATTGGTCATGATTTACCTCTATGCAAAAACCGATTGAAATTTGGAACAAATATGTTTTGCTTAACGTACTAATATTTGACTTTTATGAAAAACTGTAAAGGGTTCAATTAGGGCGCAAACTATCCCCACCCCTACATAAATTATAGCAGGATCTTTAGCAGATCTTTTTATTCACTCCATTCATGTCCCCTATAAAAACAGGATTGTTTTCGAGAAAAAAAAATAGTTGCCTCAAGATGCTCCCAAGCGGCTTATTAGTTCTTTAACTGTAGTTACCGAAAATAAACGGGGACTTGTTACAATTTTATTTAATACAGGCAACAGGTGCAGATTTTTCATAAAAAGTGAGCACCATTTTCGTTCCTGCATATGAGATTACGACGAAAAAAAAATTTACACTTGATGTTTTACAAGAAAGAAAATTGTTTAGAAACCAGCTAGTTTAAGATAAAAAAAAACGGAAAAGGCATGTAGGGCTTGAATGCTAAACAATACGGTGTGATATAAAGAACATTCTAGTACTTACGATAAAGTAGTTTCTATCAATCAGAATATCTTCGACGCCAACGCGTAAACTGCTGTCCAGCAGATCTTCCAGATTGAAGATTGTCCTAGGAGGATCCATCAGTAGGTAGGATACGATACTTGCTGAATAAAACTGGTACACCAAGATACAGAATAAAAATACAAATATTGATATTATTCGACTACTGAAAAGTTTTGGGAAGCAAGTTGCACCTAGAAATTTGTAGAAACATGCGATAAAAACAGTTCTACCACCGCAAGGATGGTATTGCCGTAATACTAAATACATACATCTATAAAATGGCGAGTGAATATAATAATAATAATAATAATGATAATAATAATAATAATAAATCGTCTTTATTTAGGGGGCGAAGTCACTGCCACTTAACCCAAAAAAAAAAAACTGAAAAAACAATACAAAACACATAAATACATTTGATAAGTTGGAAGCTTTAAAATGTATGTGTTAAAAAATACGATGTATATAACATAGACAGGGTGTTTCAGTTTATTGTTGCATAACTTTAAGACTCGATAGAACTTTTAAAATTAATGCATAAAGTCTATATAAACATGGGTCGAAAAATGCGTGGCTTCCGAAATACGGTGTTTAAATTTAGTTTCTATAATAGTTTTTTTTAAATATTTCGAACAATATTTGATGTGACAGTGAAAGTTGGTATAAAAGGGTTTTTTGGTACGACAAAACGAACCATGGGCATAGTTTTACTGTAGCTGCTAGAGGGCGCTCTCTACTGTACCTGTAGTGTATTAAAATGACCGAAAATTTTTTCTTAGTGCAATTTTTTGCTTTTTGAATAAAAATACTGATTCTTTGCAATTTTCAACATTAAATAGCTCTCCTGTGAGTTTTCGTTATTTTAGCCGTTTTTGAGATATTTCGATTTTTAAGGTTCGATGGATTTTTAATTATTTATGATAAAATAACGCTAAAAAGTCAGTATCTCGATAATTTTTAGAAGTAGGCTGTACCTGCAGATATTTTTGAAATTGAAAGCAGAATAAGGTTAAACGTCAATTAGTTGACAGTTAGTTTTGATGTCTGTTGAAACCTGAAACGTTTTTTTGCAATTGTGAATGCACGAAATTTAGTTTCTATTACCTGTTTTTTTTGTAAGTTTTATAAAAATGCCATTTTTATTCTCCAATCAAGAGTTAGCGGATATTCATTTTGTGTATGGCTTTGTAAATGGAAACCCAGCAGAAGCAGCCAGAGAATACGCACGAAGATTTACAAACAGACGACATCCAACTCGCTCAGTATTTGTAAGAGTGCATCGCCAAATAATTGAAAATGGTTTTGGAAATCTCCAAAGGGGTCAAAACATAAATGCTCGTCAGCGCAGATTTACCCGTATGATTCTGCGTGAGTTTGATAGAGATCCGACCACAAGTGTTAGGAGAGTTTCTGGTGCCTTGGGAATTTCAGCAGGCCATGTTCACCGTGTTCTTAGAAATGACCATAGACGTCCTTACCATTTGCAACCTGTGCAAGGACTACAGTCAGTGGATTCTTGATAGAACTGATAATAATAGGGAGTTTTTAAGTAACGTTTTATGGACCGATGAGTCATGCTTCACTAGACGTGGAGTGGTAAATTTTCATAATCAACATATTTGGTCGCATGAAAATCCGCATGCAGTTCGGGAAAAAAATTTTCAGCATGAATTTAGTGTGAACGTGTGGATTGGTATCTACCGTAATCGACTATTTGGACCCTACCTTTTGCCTGCAAGGTTAAATTCTGCGACCTTCTTGGAATTTTTAAAGGCTGAACATGCAAATATGTGAGATGATGTTATGTTAGATTTAAGAAGATTGGCCTCGTTCCAGCTTGATGGTTGTCCAGCTCATTATTCGAGAATAGTTAGAAACTGGCTGGACGAAAATTATCCAGAAAGATGGATCGGCCGTGGAGGACCAGTCGCCTGGCCTCCACGATCCCCAGACCTAAATCCATTAGATTTCTTTGTGTAGAGATTTCTAAAAGAAAAAGTGTACTAGACTCCTGTAACCACAAGAGATATGCTAATAGACAGAATCAGGAATGCATGTGATGAAATAAGGCCTTATTTGAATAATGCTATACCACGTTCGATCATTCGTAGATGTGAATTGTGTATTGAGCAATTGGGTTTACATTTCGAGCAACTACTTTAGATTTTGTATGTTTGTCCTAACTATCCAATAGCATTTTAGTTGTAAATAATTAATTTAATTTGTTAAAAATAATATTGGAAAATTAAACAAATTAATATTCTGTTTTTTTGTGTTTATTTGAAGTAAATAATTATTACTGTGTTTAAAAACACAATCTAAACGATCATCTTAATTACTTGTAATGCCCAAATCGAGATTGTAAAAAAAAATATTATTTTCCCATAAATAATTAAAAATGCATCGAACCTTAAAAATCGAAGTATCTCAAAAACGGCTAACTCTAACGAAAACCTCAAAGGAGAGCTTTTTTATGTTGAAAAGTGCGAAGAATCAGTTTTTTTATTCAAAAAGCAAAAAATTGTACTAAGAAAAAAATTTCGGTCATTTTAATACACTACAGGTACAGTAGAGAGCGCCCTCTAGCGGTTACAGTAAAACTATGCCCATGGTTTGTTTCGTCGTACCAAAAAACCCTTGCATACCAATTTTCACTGTTATACATCAAATATTGTTCGAAATATTTTAAAAAAACCATTTTAGAAAGTAAATTTAAACACCCTGTATTTCGGAAGCCACGCATTTTTCGACCCATGTTTATATAGACTTTATGCATTAATTTTAAAAGTTCTATCGAATCTTAAAGTTACGCAACAATAAACTGAAACACCCTGTAGAGAAAGGGGCTGAAATACTATATTTTGATGGACAGCCAAGAGATTATTTTATGGAGAAGAAATTATTTAAAATCAATAAAGAAATACCGCGACCAGGGCAGGAAGATTTATTACTTGGATGAAGCCTGGATATATGCAGTACCTACGAAACCTAAAGTATGGACTGACTCTACAATTAAATCCTTCTTAGATGGACTAACCACTGGCTAAAGAATCCATCAGGTACGTGTATCTAACCAATTCCTCATTTGTGTTGTAAAAATGATGTCAAGTAGACTGAATCTATGAGCCAACGCTGAAAACTTAGCTACCCTAAACTTATCTATATATGGTAGATTAGGAACCAGCACCTGTTAGATACTCTGCTTGTAATATTATTAGTTATCTTAAATATATGAAATAATTATTTCCACGAAAGGGAAAGCCATTTGTTATCTGTCACATTGGCAGTGAAGATGGCTTTGTGCCCACTGCCCTATGGGCATTTGAGTCAAAGAAAACGACCGACTACCATGAAGAAATGGACGCGAGTTCATTTGAACGATGGTTTGAAGAACCGCTCTTAAAGCTTGACGACAATGCCATCATTGTACTTGATAATGCTGCATACTGCACTTGAAAACTAGAAAAAATTCTTGCAATGTCCACAAGAAAGGCAGAATTTCAACAATGGCTACTATCAGAACACATCAGTTGCAATGAAAATATAGTCAAAGCACAACTTATCCATTTAGTCAGGCAGCACAAATAAAAATATAATCTTAATGTTATTGAAGAAATGGTTAAAAACCGTTTTAAGACTACCCCGCTATTACTGCGAATTGAATCCCATTGAAATGATTTAGGCAAATTTAAAAAAACTATGTGGCTTCAAACAATAGAACATTCAAATTATGTGACGTGAAAAATTTGTTTTATGAAGCTGACAACAGAGTGACGGCAAACCATTGGAAATATTGCATCCGTCACGTTCAAGAGGCAATCGAAAAAAAGATGTGGGATCTGGACAATATGATCAAATTGACCCTGTAATAATCAATAATAATTATCTGGGCGATGATTCAAGTACTTCCAGCGAATAAAGCATTGTGAAAAGTATTCTTTCTATAAAAATAATCATTTAATTTGTTAAACTATTCCAAGACCATTGAGGAAAATACGGACCTGTACAATCTCGCTTTTGGGCATGTTGTGTTTTGTCTGGGCGTAAATGGACTACGAATGAGGTATAGTGTAGGTTTCCACAGGAGTTGCGCCTCTTGCCCCCTGGCACTCCGCACTCACAGGGAACAAGACAGACCAACTCTGCTCCTCTAACAAATTTTCTACGATTCAAGTTTCTTTCAGGTCATTGTATCCTCTTAGAAGTCGTGTGACTACAAAGAGTTTAATCAAGAGGAGGTGTGCATCCAAGATGACGTCCCCTAGACTCAAGGGGGCCCCAAAACGAGGTCCCCCAGAGTGAACAAAGTATAC